TGATATTTCAGAATCTCGACAAAGTGCTATGAATAGTAAAAACCATATTTTATTATAAAAGATTTTAATTAATAAATTATGATGTGGGCTGGGCATAGATGAATGACTCCTGTGATTTACAGACAATAAAAATTAGCTTGCTCCAGTCATTTCCTTTATCAGATTTACTTTGCTCTACAACATTTAACATTTATTTCAAAGTTTCTATTCATTTTTAGAGATAATTTTCCCTCCCCAGCAAAAGAAAAGAAACAGCAAAAATAATAATTAACCACACAAAGATTCTTTATGGTCAGAAGTAGAGGCACAATTTCCTGCAATGTCAGCAGCAACAACAAAAACCAAACCATTGTCTTTCATTGCATATTTCAGTGCTTACGAAAATCTTTATTAAAACTGCTATTTTTTCTCAAATCCAATAACTGAGAGTTGTGTACCATGTTGCAAATTCTAAAATGAGCTGCTTAATTGGCACAAAACATTACTATTTGCCAAGATTCATTATGAATTTCATCTTATTAAAAATACTAAATTGTTTCTGATGCAATTAAAGTACATATGCATATATACCAGAATATAACGCAGGAGCTAATACAGCAAGTGCTAAGGGTTTGCATCAGATTAATATTTAAACTTAACGTTTGCTCTCTATGTAAAAATTCCTAAGAATAGATCCAGTCCCAGAAATGTATGATCTCTCCCACTTAGCCTTTATACATTCGTGTCTGTCTGTCTATCTTATCTATGTATTTAAGCTAATTTGTAGAGGTAGTCCTCAAATTTGAGAATCGGGACCAGAATTTCTTTTGTTAAACAACTTAAGTGAATCATACCTGATTTTATGAACTTTTTTTTACCACAGTTCTTAACTGTATCACTGCAGTTGCTAAGTGAATCATTGCATCATTAAGCTTCCAGTGATATTATGGCTTCCAAAGCTGTCGCTAATCTGGTTTCCGCCCATTGACACTGCTTGTGAGAAGCCAGCTGGCAAATGGTGATCACATGACCTTATGACAATGCAGCTGTCGGAAAGACATGCCCACTGCCAAGTATCCAAATTCTGATCATATATCTGTGATTATGCTGTGATAGTCATAAATGTGAGTACTGGTCATAAGTCACTTTTTTCAGTGACTATAACAGTGCTGTTATAACTTCAAACAATCGCTAAACAAATGTTTGTTGAGGACTAGCTGCATAGCTGCTCAATACATAGTGATTCCAGGCGGTTAAAACCCACAATTTAACACACACACACCCACATACACACACCCTGTTGTGGTGACAACAGAACCAGATAAGTCANCGGATTTTAAATACATTGAGACAAAAAAATGGTGCAGTATAATACACCATTTGGGCTAACTAAAAAGAACAAACAGATAAATACAATGTGAGTTTTAGTAGTATGTAAATTATTTACTGAAGATCTTGAGGAAAATATATGTATATAAAAAGAAGAAAAAGACTCCAGAAAGTAAAGGACCAGGTAAATAAACAATGGATTTAAAAATTAGTTAAAATAACTTTTCTAATATTTCAATAAGTGATTAAATTACACAAAATACAATATCAAAAGCAATAGAATACAAAATAAATTATAATTAAATTATGAAATGTAATAAATGCCATTATTTGAAAAATACCTATTTAAAAAGCCCATAAAAATAAAGTAAAGCATTTAAGAAACTACTTGGTTGCAAATTATACTGTTCACTCTCACTGTACCCAAACTATTAATTTAAATCCATTTATTTGTAAGCCTTAGGAATTAGGAATCTAGTTAGGTCCCTTCATCTATTTTATCCTCTTAGAAAGTGTGATCAGATGTGTATATAAAGGAGCCGTTCTTGCTTGCATTTGAAGGGGGCTCAGCCTCAATAATCTTCCCAAATTAACATTATTTATATAAGAAGGAATTAAACATAATTATAAGTTACCATTTTAACCCAGTTCTTTTTAATACTCCAAATATTTTGATTGCTGGGTTTTTGTGTTTTATACGATGCTATAATTTGGAAGCATCCTTTTAAGTTACGATTTGGTATAAACCACCTAGTGCTTTTCAGAGACAAGACTCTGTATA